AAATCAAGGTATATGTAATCCAGGGGTGTCAAAATTGATTCTATTGAAGTCCTCATCAGGGTTGTGTTTGACCTTTGGGGGCCAGGGTGGGTGTGGCCAAGTGGGCATGGCCAGCTCAGCATCACTCATGTCAGGGGGCTGTGTGGTGGTCCGAGCACTCTGCCAGTAAAAATGGGTTCCCGAGATCTGTTTTTGGCTGCGATGGCTTCCTGCAATCCTCTCCAGCAAAAACAGAGCTCAGGAGGGCTGAATGTGGCCCTCCTGAGCTCCATTTTTGCTGGCAAAGGCACTGCAGGCCAGTCCTTTGTGGTTTCCAAGGCAGCCTCGTGGGTCAGATCTAAGCACCGGATCAGGCCCCCGGGCCTTGAGTTTGATGTCCCTGATGTAATGCTTGGTTAACAACTGTCCTATTGTTCTGACCCAAACCCTTTTCCAATAAAACAAACATGAACCAAAGGGAACAGAAACCTTTTAATGATTCTAATGAATCCCTGGTTAAAAACCTGCTTCAAACTAATTAACTTTGATAAGCATGAGTCTCGCCAAAGCTGTGTGAGATTGCCAAGAATAACAGATAAGGTTACCTAGAAATATTTTACAACACAAGAGTCTTCAAATACCAACTAAGATACTGCAATGTCCACAAGGCTCAAGTTTCCAATTCACAGCTGGCTTCTATCTTTTTGAAGGAGGGGCCATTACCTTGCAGCCTTACTCCCGAGTCACCCATGCTGCTCCAGCTGCTCTTTCCTGCGAGCAGCCCTGCGTGCACGGGCACTTGGCACAGGCTCCTCAGGAACCTCTTCATCGCTGCTGCCAGACCCCAACAATCTCTGAAGGCAGCAGTCCATTCCCTAATGGTCCTGGCTCCTCATCTGAGTCCTCGCTCTCCCCAGCCGTCCACACCTGCTGCCAGCTAACCACAACACCTGTTTAGAGACAAGTTTGAAATTGCAACAGTGGTGAAATAGTAACTTTATGACCAGTGTTTGGATATTAGACAGTTGCAGTATACTCACAGTCACGTCCTCACAATTTGGAGGTTTTGCAACTGGGATGATTTTATGACCACTGCAGCATCCTATGCTCATGTGATTGCTTGTGCAAGTTTCATAGCCAGCATCTGACAAGCAGAGTCAATGGAAAAGCCAGCAGAACAGAATAACAGAGTTGGAAGGGAACTCGGAAATCTTCAAGTTCAACCCCCTGCTTAGGCAGGAAACTGTATACCATTTTAGACAAATGGAATCTCTAGACATTATGCAATCTGTAGCAGTAGATCACGTGACTGTGATGTCTCACTTAATGACTACAAATGATTTGCTTTATGACTGTTTGGGAGCTGATACATCGTGATAAATACATTGCGATCATTTGATGTTTCACTTAATTATCACATTACTTCACAATGGAGTTGCTGGTCCCAACTGTAGCATTAACCGAGGACTATATGTAGACATTTTACCATCTGAAGTAGAAAATCCCAAAAGTTCACTCTATGCCAGTAAAAATACAACAATATTCATAGCTAGAAACTGAACATTTGCATGGAATTATGTAACATTGCCAAATGTTTAAACCAGAATACTATCACATATAACACATGTCCCATAGCTTTGTTGCTTTATCATTAACCAAGGAAAAGGTTTCCTTAATAAGATTCCCACCAGATATATTATAGTACTAACATGAATGTGGCTGACAGCTAAATATGAGCCAGCAGTGTTCAGTAGCAGCCAAAAAAGTTAATGCAATCTTAAATTGCATTAACAAAGTGATACAATCAAGATCAAGTGAGGTACTAATACCACTTTATAAAGCCTTAATAAGACCACACCTAGAGTACTGCATCCAGTTTTGGTCATCACACTATAAAAAAGATGTTGAGACTTTAAGAAAAAGTACAGAGAACAGCAACCAGGATGATTATGGGACTGGAGACTAAAACATATGAAGAACGGTTACAGGAACTGGGCTTGGCTAGTCTAGTAAAGAGGAGGGCCAGGGAGACATGATAGCAGTCTTCCAATATTTGAGGGGCTGCCACAGAGAGGAAGGGGTCAAGCTATTTTCTAAAGCGCATGTAGGCCAGAAAAGGAATAATGAATGGAAACTGAACAAGGAGAGATTTAACCTGGAAATAAGGAGAAACTTTCTGACAGTGGGAACCATCAACCAATGGAACACCTTTCCCTTGTGGGAGCACCATCACTTGAGACTTTCAAGAAGAGATTGGACTGCCATTTGTCAGAAATGGTGTAGGGTCTCCTGCTTGAGCAGGGGGTTGGACTAGATGACCTACAAGGTCCCTTCCAAGTCTGATGATCTCTTATGTTATTCTTTCCTTCCCCTTGCCTCTACTATGCTATCCCATCTTCTCTTCCCCTTCCCCTCCTTTTCCCACCTCTCTCCCTTCCTCTTCTTCACCTGCCCCTCCCTTTTCCTCCCCCCCTCCTCCCTTCATCCCCTCCCTCCTCCCCTCCTCCCGTCTCCTTCCCTCCTCCCTTCCCCTTCTCTTCCCTTCCCTCCCATGCCCTCCCCTTTCCTTCCCCTTCCCTCTATTATTCTATTCCCTCTCTTCCCCTCCCCCTCCTTTTCCCTCCTCTCTCCCCTCCCCTTCTTTTCTTCACCTGCCCCTTCCCTCTTCTCTCCTCTCCCCTCTCCTTCCTCTTCTCTTCTCTTCTCTTCTCTTCTTTCCTCTCCTCTCCTCTCCTCTTCTCTTCCCTCCTCTCCCCTCCCCCTCCCCTTCTCTCCTCTCAATCTCCTTCTCCTTTCCTCACCCTCCCTCTCCCCACCCCTCCTCCCTTCTTCTTTCTCATCCCCTCCCATTTATCAGCCATACATCTTCTTACTGCAAACCAACTTCTTAACTTAGTCTGAGAGCAACTGGAGAATAGAGAATTAAAGAGTGCTTTTGACTTTGGGACTTCGTTCCTATAGAAGAAACAAGCTGGATCAGTGACGGCAGTCACAACAGCAACTGTTCTGGGGTCCAAGTTCAACTATCAGCAATTGGGGGTGAGAAAAGAAAAAAACAGTATAGTATGTAAGTTTGTGTGTATTTCATCTTTGATATTGAAGCTCTTGGATTGCACTGAGGAAAACTGATTGGTCATATAATGTGTTCAAACTATTCTATGCTTATAAGACTAAGGACAAAAATGGCAAGGGTGACACAGAATCAAGTGTAAATAAAAATTTAAAACTAAAGAACTAATTCAGATCAACTTGCTTCCTAACTCCATGTACAGAGGATATACAAAATAATGCCTGGTTGGTACTTGGTGGGAGTCCCAGAAATTCTACGGGTAATAATAATTAGACTGGAAAATGAAAAAAACCTTGAGGTGAGATAGGCAGCAAATAAATCTAACAAACAAACAAAAATCCCATATATTCTTAACAAGAAAACCGAAGAGTCCTTGGTGCTCTCTGAGCTTACTTGTTTTCTTGCAGATGTTTCATTACCCATTCATTTCAACCCTGAGCTACAAATATCCTCCTTTATTGGTAACAGGAAAATTACTTGGTTGCCCCTATGATGTCAATAGGAGTTGAAGTGTCCTTGAAGAAGACTTAACTTTACAGACACAAACAGGCAAAAGGAGGGGCCAGTAAAATTAAAAGGGCCATTCAGCAATATCAAGTTACCCAGATCAAAGGAAATTAGAGGTAGGATTACCCCCAGCATTACTGTTTTCGTGCATGCCAGAGATAAAAGCCTGAGATCATTTCAAAGGCTATCAGAGGTGTAGAAAGAACAGCTTGGATTCAGCTATATACTGTATATCAGACTCTTAGCTGCTGCAAAGAAAGAAAAGATCATCAGGTCTAGCTCCAATAAGACCAACAGCACATTTTAAATTGGATCCACTGTGTATGGATGTATAGCACAGTAGCAATGACAAACCCTATTTCTCCCTTCTTCCCCTTTGTGTGTGTTTTGTGTGCTAACTAGATGGGCTGGACTTTCACCTCCCTATAATGTCATTGGAACTCTTTTCATGCCACACTCCAAGTTATTCAGCAGAGAAAGTTCAATTGTAATTCATGAAATTTTATGCTCCAAAAGAAGGTTAGGACTAGCAAACTTGTCAACTTCACTATTTTAAGATAATACTTTATCACTCTTTACCATATCAGCCCTCCTCCCCCTGCCCCCACTATTAGAAGCAAAGCAGGAGTAAAAGGTGTGTTGCATATGCTTGCTTTACCTGATTATTTCCCCTGGTTTCAGTATTTCATTTGAATTCTTCTCCTATATCAATAGCAAAACTCAGTGGAAAGGCTACTCAATTTTTAAGATGTTATTTATGCCCTTGAATATTAGAAATTCTATGGATATTCTACTCCGTAGAGGAGGAAAGTAGAAAGAATGGCTTTATTGGCAATAAACCAGACTTACTTTCAGAAGTTTTCCTAGGAACGACTTGTTACCCTTAAAGAAGTGTGTTTCCAGTGCCTTGATTTCCTTGAGTTATGGTTTCTTTAGAACAAACAAAGTGGAAAGTTTTGACCATCTTGACCGAGGATAGTAGGAGGTGGTGCTTGCTGATGTTCTGTCCTGTCCTCCCCCCCTCCAGTTTGGGAACTTTTCATTCAAGAGTTTTTGTCAATGGGAAAGAGTGTCCTGCTGATAATTCCCCACCACAGGCTTTGCTGATGTCACTAACGAAGCAATAAATATCTCTTGTTATAATTGGATGTGAGCCTTTGGGTTGTGATTGCAGGACGTTGCCCACCGCTGCTATAGAGCGGCCCCCATGATTGATTCAGCAGTGGATCGGGGCACGCAAGCGAGCTGTCAAGAAAGCGTCAGCTTATTAAGCGAGGGCTGCGTGATTCCAGAACAGGGTCTAACCTATAAAAATCACACAGCCAGACTCTGGTTAGGACGCCAACGGATCACCAGGGCAGGCAGGAGACGTTAGGTACACATCCCAAGAAGGAAAGAGAGAGAAAAAGTGGGCACCGACCACTGACTGGCTCTACTTCTCCCAGACTGCTCCGTGGGTATCTCTTAAGGTAGGGAAGAGACGGATAGAAGCACAGGTTGCAAACTTTTCTCAGGAAGCATGTCCGTGTGTGTGCATGTTTGTGGATTGTGGTGGAAGTATGTAGTTTGGTCTAAGAAACATCATTGTCCTGAGGTCATGTCATAACTGTGATGATAAGGGAGGAGGAGGGAGAAGACATTGTTTGGCATGGCAAGGTTTACTGTTTTAAAAAGATGAAATGTGGTGATTTATAGGAAGCCCCCGATATAGCGATTTAGCCGTATAAATCAAGTACGACTCCGTCTATTCTGACCTTTAATAAGGAAGAGTGGGTGGATTTCAGGCAGAGAAAGAATGCAGATCCTTCTCACGGGAAAAAAATTGATTCGAGTTGGGTTGATCGTTCCGGGGTGTGGGGGGGGGAAAGTCTGATTTGTGCTCTCGGTTGGTTTAGAGTTTTGGCGAGGGTTGCTTGAAAGATTTCAGCACCTCGGACAGAAAATTGCACGGACCGGGGAAAAAAAAAAAGCCCAGTTCTTTGATAGAGAGTTGTGCCTTTTCCCACCATCCCTCCTGTTACATTTTCAGATCTGGCCATCCTGAATCATGAAGATCCAGCTGCTTGTCTCTACAGGGATCTTATTGGTTGCTCTCCAGCCCTGCCATGAGTGCAGAACCCTCAGCAAGGGAGCCCCGGCCGCTCCCGCCGCCAGTAGCGCTCTGCAGCAGCAGGATTTCCAAGAACAACCCCAATCGCTCCCCGTATTGCTCCGCATGGGAGAAGAATATTTCCTGCGCTTGGGCAGCCTTCGGAAGAACCCCGCTGCTGCTCCCGCCGGCGGATCCGGATCCTTCTCCTCCACTGCCAGCACGAGCACCAGCAGCAGCCACCTAGCCGCGTCCGCATCCGCGTCCGCGGGCAACTTTTTCCGAGCCGTCGTCCAACAGCTGCAGCAGCTGCAGCACTTCCAAGAACGCTCGTTAGAGGGCGCCCCCGACTCCTGGGACGGCGAAGACGACGGCGCCTACCTACAGGCCACGGAGAAGGAGAAACGATCCGAGGAGCCGCCGATCTCCTTGGATCTGACTTTCCACCTCCTCCGAGAAGTCTTGGAGATGGCCCGCGCGGAGCAGTTGGCGCAGCAGGCTCATAGCAACAGGAAACTGATGGAAATCATCGGGAAGTGAAGCGCTCTCCTTTGCCTGGCCCCGACCAAAGAGCTCCTCCAGTTAGCACAGCCCTTCGACCTAGATCCACTTACACCGCTCCCTCGCGCCCTTCCCGTTCCCGCTCCCTCCTGGTTCTTTTATTCGAAAGCTTTATCGAAGTAGCCTTGAATAGCATGTCCGGCGTCGTACCCAAAGTGTCGTCGTTTGTAACTTCTTTTTCTTTTCTCACCCGTCCTGTCCCAGGCGAGATTCAGGTTTAGGCGTTTCAGGGTGGGGTCCGTTGGTCTGGCCATCGGAAGCAGGTGAAGGACGAGAAGCGTCTTCTGAGGTTGGTGGGCGGGGAAGGGGGCCGGAGCCTCTCTGTACTCAGCTATTTCGATTTCACTTCTCTTTGTCTTTTCTTTGTAAACATTTCTTTCCACAAATAAAACATATTTTCAGCGCTCGGTCAACTTGGTTGTGTAAGAGAACGTTTAATATCTATCTATATCTATATAATATCTATATTTTTAATAAAAGCTGCAAAGGAACGTTGGCTTGCATACACTTCCTTGATTGCCGGTACGTCAAATTTCAGAAAAAGGGAGGGTTGGAGACCTTCGATGTGGTGGGGTGGGGCTGTTAAATGGATTAATGGTGGATTATGGGGTAGAAAAACACACCGACAGGCACAGAATCCGATCGTGGGGCATAATGGTTGTGGACCCATCTAGTCAAGGCTCAATTTGCCTGTAAGGGAAGAAATGGTGTTGAAATGGAGCATATCAACTCCAGATTAGCTCAGACACAAGCAATTAAAAACGGAGAGATACATTGGACAGATACAATGATCACCACAGATTTTGAGTAAAAAGATAAAAGGTTCCTGATTCAACAAAATGACTCTGGGTTCTAAGTTTCCTGCATAAAGGTAAGCAACCTGCTAGTCTCTGAATGGTTGAAAAGTCAGCAGGTCAAAACTGTGACAACAGGCTGTGCTAATTGGAATCGACAAAAGAGAATTTCTGGAAGGAGTGAGGTTGTTCATCCTCCCTTAAGTTTCAAGGAATTCTTTGCAGTTTATATTATTCCAGAATAAAGCATGTGCAAAACTGCCATTTGGTGTATCCATCTGCCTATTCTTTCCTTCAGGCAGTAACTGTTTTGGTGTCCTGTTCCAGTTAACCCAGTTAACCTACAATCCAACCAAAAGATGGATTTCCAGGTGAAATATATTAATCAAACTGCAGTGCTTTCCCCCTTTCCTTTCAATATATTTTGGCATTAAAGGAATACAGGCAGTGTTCATTGTCACCTCAGATAATAAAAAAGATACCATATATTCTTATCTTTCAAACAATGTAAAAAATAAGCAAAACTTCCTTCTTGTTAATAACACGGAAAACATCCTTCAAACATTTTCCATCTTTCCTCATCAGAGTTTTGCTTACAGGTTTGTGAGGAAGAGTGAGAGGAAACTATGAAAGAAATGTGGCACATTTTTTGGCCTGGAGTGAGATGAGATGATTTTCCTTCAGAAATCCTTCCAAAAGAGACTGGTGGCTAGAATATAGGTGTTTGAGTGAACTGCTGGGTTATTTCTCACATCAAAGCCTTTGCAAAGTGTCTTATTTTGTGTCCATATTTAGACAAGGGGACAGAACTCTCAAGAATGTTTAGAAGAGAAAACCAAGATAGTGGAACAGAACTTCCATAATTCCCGGACATTTCTGACAGTGAGAAACCATTGGGAAACCATAGGATGGTAGCTAATTCAAAATCAGCCCAAGTGAACGACTGTCATCTTTCAAATGGAGCATGTGTTCTTCCACCCCAACGTTTAAGCCAGATAATAGTCATTTAAATATGATATAGTCATTTAAAAAGGTAGAGTGGGGACCAGGAGAAAGTGGGTATCAACCGGTCTGCTGTTTATCAGCTTAATTGACATCACTAATTTTTGATGAAGATTAAATGGTGGTGGTAGTGAGGATGGGGGACAAAGCTGTGAGTTTTGGGAGAGATTGTCAGTGATAAAAAATGTTAAGCAGATGATTCTGGATATCTACATGTGCTCTTGTTGAATAATAAACTTCTTGGTGTGCCTTAAATGTGCTTTTCAATAGAAGGTCTAGTCAACCCTAGCAACCCTGAAAGGGATAGAGAGCTCTTCCAGCCTGATAACACCCAGTTACTCTCTGTCAGGGGTCTCCAATTTTAGCAACTTTAAGACTTGTGGACTTCAACTCCCACAATTCCTCAGCCAGCTGGAAGTTGAAGTCCACAAGTTGCCAAGGTTGGAGACCCCTGCTCAGGATCAATGACGTTAAGATTGCTAGTCTCAAAGATCTTATCATCCGCTTCTGAATCAGCAACAGATTTTAATTCCTAGGCACTGGCCAGCTCCTTCTGACATTGTGTCTCTTCTACAGTAATCTTCCCCAAATTATGCCCCCTTGAAAGACTGGAATGACAACTCTCAGAATTTTGTCTTTCATTTCTATGAGATATAATTTATGTATATGTAGGGATCAGCAGACCAAGAAAAATCTAAAACAGAAGATCTGTCAATTTATTCAGTTTAATTTTTTTCCACCTGATTCCAAATATCTCTGAGCAGTTCACAGTATAACCAAAAGAATAAAATGGATTATAATCCAAAAACAAATGACCAGAAAATAAAGAAGAAATAAGGTAAAAAAAGTAGATGGTGAACTGGCCAAAAACAACACTCACAAGGGGTTCCAAAGACTCTAACTCAAGTACTGAGGAACAACTGGGACTTCAGCGGTTTTGTGTTTGTTGTTTCTTATTATATTGGTTTTACATTGTCTGGTATATTGTAAGCCAACCAAAGTTGTTTGGAGTCAAATCAATTAAAATAAAAAAGTAAAAATAAACTGTTAATAAACTAATACCCATCCAGAGGGATATTTCCAACCAGCAGGGCCTTTGGAATGACAGTCAACACTCAGTGGTGCAAATATAATGAAAATACAGGAAACATGTTCCTTGGGATCTGCAGGTACAGGAGACTGACTCAGGTTCTTCTTGTCATCAACTCCTTGCCCCATGGACATGTAAGCATATTTTATGCAATTAATAACCCCCATATGTGGGCTACAAAAATCTGGATGATCACTAGATACAGTAGCAGCAATGTCAGTTTTCTGATTCACTTTGCTGACATAACTAATATTAATAATAATAATAATATGACCCCAACAAAAGCACATAGTAATCTTTCAGATTTTTGTAGATATTGATGCTTGAAAGAATATATTTCTGCTGGCTTAGTATGTTCATGGAGGACTTGTGGTGAGAGGGCCATGGTTGCAAAAAGCCAAGTAGGATGAGGAAGGACATTCGGATGATTGAGGAAGGTAGGAGAGATCATTTTAGGCCTGAGATCTACTGTAGCATAGCATAATGGTATGTGGAAGAACCTTGGGAAACAAGAGGAAGTTGACAACTCTCTGATGAACAAAATCTGAATCCAAAGGATGTGGGGTGAAGAAAGAGTCTGAGAAGGGGTCCTTCCAAATTTTGAAGAGTCTACTTTCAGACTCATATTCCTTTTATCATTCTGCTGACTAGACTGTGGGTCTTCCTCCTGACTTCTAAAGTCATTCCCACATACCATTACATAGTGGCAATAAAGAAGTAGATGTGTGACCTTCCTTTTCTCTTTCTCCAGTTCAGAGGTGGTATTGCAGATTCTGACCAGTTCTGGAGAACCAGTAGTGGAAATTTTGAGTGGTTCGGAGAACCGGGAAATACCACCTCTGACTGCAGATTTTACAATAGCCTTCCCCTGCCACATCCACCAAGCCACCCACAGAACCGGTAGTAAAAATAATTGGAATCCCACTACTGCTCCAGTCCATTTTAAATGGCTACAATGCCTTGCATGACAAAGCAGGCTTTTAACAAGTTTGCCTTGGGAAGATGTACTTATTACCCACTCTATATTATTTGACAGTGTCTGTCCAAAGTTTCAATGGGAATTTACCCCAGTTCTGTATATGGTGGATATGAGTTGAATCTAAAAACTTTTGCATGCATAACATATATTTTTCACTAAGTAACAGTTCTTCCTGATATCAGCACCTGCTTCTGTATCTTTTCTCAATACATCTAAGTTTGTCTGAATTACTTGTAGGCTTAGCTCTGTGTCAATGCTGTAAAACAGAGACACTAATATTTGGCAGAAGACACAGGAAGGGCCAACATGTTCTTTTCTTTGTACGTCATTGAACTCCCCCCACTCCCCCATATATTTGGATGTTCTCAAAAAGAAATTGCGATCTTTTTTATTTTTTAGCACTACTGTGACTATGTTAAAATGAAATTCAAAATTTAGATTGGCAGGTGGCATGAATGAATAAATGTATGAGATAAGTTCTAGGCAGAATTGTCAGCAGGAAGTCATTATTTTTTATCAAAAGGGAAAGGAAAGTTCAAATCAAATATTTATTCTTTTTCTTCTTGATGGACAAATAGGCTGTACATGGACATGAGAAATATTTGGGCTACTACTCACTAAAGAGGACATTCCATGATGTTGCACTGAAAGTCATGGAAACTTTGAAAGAGATAAACTTTTAACCTTCTAAGGAATCATTGGTGTGGCATACATATAGGTCTGTGTTGCACTGTATCTGATTTTAGACACAGTTCACATAATCTTTTATCATTGTTTAATCAAGCTAGAGTGGATGGGAGTTGAAGCCCAATATTTAGAGGGCGATAAATTCTCAGTGTAGGACATTTTAAATTCATTATTAATGTAGAAAATGAGAATTCAACTGAGTTGTAACATAAAGTCTATGAATTAAAAATAACAGAATCCCAGAAATTAGGTCACAATTTAGGATACTCCATTATACATCATCATTGTTGCAAAGATTTTGAACATTGATTTGAATTGTTATTCTTTATACTATATGAAAACATTACTTTGAAAACTCCAAAAATTCAAAACCAGTTTTCTAACAGCATATAGGGCAATTCTGATTTAAAAAACCTAACTGGAATCCAAATGTCATCAGGAAAATTAGTGCCTCATTAATTTCGATGACTTTGGTTATAAATGTCAGTTCTCATCATTTAATGTTCTGTAAATGTCCAGCTATAATATCCCACCCTTTTATGCAATAGGGCTTGTGGTAGCATTACGAGTTTTGAATTCTCTGCTGAAGAACATTATACTAGCTGGGCCCAATCTCATTTTGAAGTAACAGATTAAAAATTTTTCTGTTTCATTATGCTTTTCATCAATTTCAATTATTTTTCTTTTGTTATTGCTTGCAATAGTTTCCTTTTTAGATCCTGTTAAAAGTATTGTAAGATTTATTAATTTTATATATATGCAGTAAAATTCTATGAGTTAAACTATGAATATTTTAATAAAAAGTTTAATTTCAGCATTACTGAAGTCAATTACAGAAAAAAGGCAAGTGAAGAAACTTCCAAATAATGAGAAATTTATTAACAACAATGTCTTTAGTGAAGAAATGATAAAGTACAAACATGAAACTAAGAATATGCCTAAGGCATTTTACAAATATGCATAATGAATTTTTACTTTTACTTTAGTTTTTAGCTTGCTTGTAAATATATTATTCTTTTCAATCCCTTCCTTCCTTCTGATTTTAATTTTATTTGAACGTAAGTAGGGGCATTTGCCTCATTCCTATAATAATTTGGGCATAACCCTGATCAGCTATTAGAAATACTACAGAGCCTTATGTCCAAATCCCAGTACCTAGAGGCAAACTGGACAAGAAATGTTATCATTTGATATTTAGCATGAGCTAAAAAAATGTGTATGAATTTGGCATTCAAATGGTTCATGACAAGGTATTAACTCTTACTCTTTCTCTCCCACCACTACCACTCTGCTCAAATTATACAAAAGTCAGATCCAATGTGATGATTTTCAAAATAAAGTCTTGAAATAAAATCTGATCCGCTATTATTTATAATGTGTTCTTGTTGTTATTTCCTGCTATTGACTTCACCAGATGCCATCTGGACTAGGAGTCATCATTCATTCAATGAGTTCAACCAGGAGAAAGAGAAAACATGACGAGCTGGCTCATCAACTCTTTCGTTGCTCCCAGGCTGTCCTTCCACATGTCCTTGTAAGGTCTCAGTCCCAGTCTGAAGAAAAAAGTAAATTGAAATATTTTATACCAATGTAGTTGGATTATTTTAGGTACTTTATGGGTGAGAACATAAAATATTTAGAAAACAGTAGAAAGTATCTGTCTACAAGACTGCTGAGATGAAGCAGCATTTTAGACTACTTGATCTTACGTACTACTTGATTCATTTCAAAAGACCTTGCACAGAACTGTCCTAAATTACCATATACATTTTAGGAACAAAACCCACACATTCATAAATACATCTAGAATGGGATATTTCCAGTTAATTTAAACTTTTCAGTACTGTTTTACTGGGTTAAGGTGCTTATTCTTGAGCTAGAAGACACTATACAAGTATGAAATTCATGTATCTATTGTTGATCCCTATCCTGCTTCTGTAGCCTCTGTTTCCACCCAGGGCCCATCACCTTACTTCTCTCCAAGGTGACAAAAACTCCCATTTTCAAAATAAGGCAGGTGTCAAAATAAGATGGAAACTGCTAGGACACAAGGGCAGCCCTGTTAAGCTTACTTGATTCATAGATAATGAATCATGGAAACATGGCAGAAAAATGAGACTAGCCATGTTTGTGCTTGTGCTTGTGTTCTCAGGAAGCCTAGATAGGCTATTACTTTTATTGAATATTCTTGAGCTTTTGGAATTACATCTGAAACCCAGAAAGCAAACAAATATTATATATTGCTTCCTCTTAAACATATCAAAGAAAATATAATTGAATGAGAGCAAGTTTGGTATAGTGGTTAGGAGATCAAGCTAGAAAGTGGGAGACTGTGAGTTCTAGTCCCACCTTAGGCACGAAAGCCAGGTAGGTGACTTTGGGCAAGTCATTCGCTCTCAGACCAATTCCTCTAATAAGGTTGTGGTTATGGGGAAAATAGGTGGAAGAAATATTAAGTACGTTCGTCACCTTGAGTTATTTATGAAAATAATAAAGGCAAGATAAAAATAAATACGTTAAAATAAAATAAATAAATATGACTTTTACTTTGCTTTGGCAGATTGTTTTACTTTGCTTTGGCAGAACAAAATTTCTAACTGTGATACATTTTTTTCTTAAGCAATATAAAGTCAAAGGAAATATCTTCTTAATTTCCCCATGAATTGAGATTACATGCTTATTTTGTGAAGAAATGCATATTTACCAAAAGCATCCATAACCACAAATCATAAAAATATACAGTTATGAACTGTCACAGATGCTTGCAAAGAACTGCTATATGAAATAGAAGATGATCTGCCGTATTCCAAGCATCTTTTGTAAATGCATTATGTTAAAATTCAAAGCTGAATTAGTAAGGAATGGTGATATGTTAGGTATTAATTAATTCACATGCCAAATGGACAAAGCCATATTACTGTATGACAGGTCCTGTTGTCTAATGATTGTAAAAAAAAAAATAGAAATGTTTTTGTCTAATCAGAGCTTTTCTATTTGAGTTGCTGCATTATGCAGCTTTGTTATCTGGGGCTAACCTCTAAAATACAAATACATCCTAATGTGGATTATTCTTTTGCAGTGGTAAAATTATTGGTAATAAAAGAGTTGATATACAAATTTTCTTTACGCTTACAGACAAAATTTTTGGAATTATACTTTTATCACTACTGAATCCTATACTTTCTTTCTCAGCACCAAAGCTGAGTCTTGGAATCCACATTCATGTCCAAGGCAGTTTCATCCATTCAAACTGACTAAGAAAATAAGGGGCCATCAGAGAGTTATTAAAATAATAAATATGTTCTTAATCTTTGAAAGATGCTATTTTTATTGATGAGGATGACGCAGAGAAAAAATGATTGTCCTACTACCAAGGGCTCAAGATTAGGAAATAAAATGTGGCTGAATTTAATGGTAATAATAGGTTTCTACCTCCACTAGGCAGTCAGCATTGGTTTTTTAAGAAGCCCTTATATAATGTTATTTTTTGTTCTTCGGAACTAACATCTGCTGTAGGCTGATTATACAGGTAAAAATTTCAGATATTGGGATGAATCTCAGTGGAAATGAACAGCAGTAAAAAGAAAAGATGAACTGGGAATTTTGAGTGCATCTTTTTATCTCCTGATGCATATCCATTAATTTTGAATCCGAAATTTCCTATAACTTTCTATGTGTTTTTTTTAAACTTAGCCTTAGAATATAATTAACTCAATTTGATAGTGATAAGGCTGGAACAGAAACCAGCAAAGCTCAATATGTGAGTTTCTTTCTGATGTTCTCTTAATAACACATTGCAAGCATAGGATTCTTACAAAGGGAAGTAATTTTTACATGGAAAAAGTTGGAACTGGAGCACTTAAAACGTTCCCATATTCATACCAGCTTACTTGCCCTAAAATTGTATTTTGGTACCCTGATTTTAGTTAGTCACTAGCTCTAGAATTTGGATTCTGTTGAGGCCTACTGAATATTACATCCTTTTTGTGACTTTAGTTGCTATTTTATTTATTAATTACATTTATTATTATAGGACTGATTTGAAACCAAAGTAAAGTACATAAATTATCAGACAGTCTCCCATCCAGGCATTGACCAACCCAGATTTATTTATTTCTTTTTGATAAGAATGGTATAAAGAAACATCTGCAAGAAGGGAAGAAGATTAAAAAAACTCAAGACGATAGCCACTAGTGTGCAATCAAAGCCCGTTTTAACATGTGTTACATGCATGACATAAATATATATAAAAGGGGGGGGGGTTAAATTGCATGACTATGATCTCTATCTTGATTTGACAGCCTTCTCCCCCACCCTGCCCCAATAAGCCCATCATGTACTTTCAGATTCCTACCTTTGTAAACTCACCATATGTGGGAGTCTGAGTGGTAATTTCATTAGATGATGGCCCAGGACTATGCTGGCCAGCTATTACCCTAGTTGCAGTGTGTTCATTAACAACATTTATCCTTCTATTATGAGTTATGATGGCTTTAATATTTCTATTATTTAAATCCCCACAGATTTACATAATAGAAATATTAAAGCCATCATAACTCATAACAACAACACACAATACAGAAAAAAATTACAGATGCAGCCCAAGTCCACTGTCTACATCAAATGTCCAGTGAAACAAAATCATTTTCATTGCTTTGCAACATGTGAGATCAGATGTCTTTTAGCTCAAGGGGCAGAATATTCCTTAACATGGGGACTGCCAATAGGAAGGTCCAACTCCAGGTTCCCATTGCTTTAAGCTCATGTGGGAGTTCTGAAAGGGCCCATTTGGAGTTGAATGCACAGGACAGGCAAATTCTAATTCGGAGAGATGATCTTGCAAGCCACAAAGAGCTAAATATCAGAACTATTTCTGGACTGTAGAGCAAAACACACTTTTAATTAATGGTAAATTTTACTATAGGTGCCAGGAATGTAAAACTGAACAACTGTACTACTAGTTTTATACTTAATTCAGCTCACACTAAGAGATTTACATGCAGTTTAGCTGAGATTAATAATAATCAAATGACCAAAGGGATATTCTGGGATGATTTATTACATTAGTTATTCTTAAGAGTAAAAGCAGAAGGCATTCTGTCCTCAGACAATTCTGTCCTCAGACAATTGTCATGAAAATGTTGACTAAGACCATATTTTAAATGAAACAGCATAAGTTATTCATAGCTAACTTAAGTTATGTTAGTGCCAGGAAAAAAAAAGACTAACAATTCAGTCTGCTTCTAGATGGTGACTCCATTCCTCACCAATCCTTCACCCTTTTACTTCTTCAGTCTTATTCACACATAATAAAACCATAAGCTTTTTAGAAGTCAGAATTAGTGCTTAAAGTTAGGTTATTTGGCAGTTGTTTCAATAATCAATAGAGCAGAAACATACATATACCACATATCAGATACATTTGCACTCTGAATTAGTTTGAAGAGTTTCCTCTCTGGATTTTTTTATTTCAATGGGCTAATTTTCACATACTTTTTTGATATAAGTAATATGCAACTCATAATATTTTATCAGACCATCAAAAGTATTACCACATCACTTTGGATGAATGTGTATCTTGACTCTGATGTAAAGCAAACTCTGTGTGTCTGGCAGAAGGGAGATATCAGCATAATAAGCATATATTCAAGTCTGTGCAGAACTGTCACTTGGATTATATTAAGAGTCTTCCCTGGCCTGGTCTCTTCTAGGTTGTATTAAGAATTAAACACCTAGAATTTTCACTGCTATAGCCAATGACTAGGTAGTCGGGGAGCTGTCGCCACACTTCATTTTAAGCATATTAAGTTGGTAAGTGCGCTACAACATTATTTTAAAAAGTCATCAATAATTCATCCTTAATTAAGAATGTAAACTGTACATGCTGATGAGCCACATAGACCAGTGTGTTTTAATTTATTAACAAGGAGAAAAGGAATGCCAAATTCTGAATATGTGTCCAGGGACTCTTTTACTACATTAAAAAATATTACAAATGCTATTATATTAAAGAATTCAAATATTATAAAAGTATTGGTGTCAAACTCAGTTCACAGATGAAACAATAGTAAATTTTGCTACATTGATCTGAATTTCATCTATCAAGTATATGGAGAACGAAAGAGGATGACTTAATTATAACAAAATAATGCTTATTAGAGCCCTACATGGAAAAGGAAATGCCAGGTGTTCAAGCTGGCTTTAGAAAAATCTGGGGAACGTGAGGCATTACTGCTGATACCCCCTGGATAATTGAAAAAGTCAAAAAATGTGAAAGAGAAAGGCCTTTGATTATGTCAGTTGTGTCAAGTTGTGGGAGGTGTTCAGAAAAATGGGAATCCTAGAACATCTTATCATGCTCATGAGAAACTTAAATGCTGGCTAGGAAGACACAACATAGACAGAACATGGCAAAACAGACTGGCTCCAGGTTGCAAAGAAGTGTGACATCTGTAATCTTATATGCTGAATATAAATTAAGGGCAGCTGGATTGGAATATGAGTATGGTTTTAAAACTGGAGGAAGAAATATCAGTAGCCTTTGCACTGCTGA